AAACCACAGGTTTCTACAACTAAATATTTATATCTCTTGATCTTCAACAAAAATTTACGTAGGTTGCCCCACCGGAACATTTATCGACTGTAAACGTTGAGGTTGTAGAAATTTATCAAAGATAATTTTAAGTTTTTTTTTTATAACATAGAAACAAATCATTTACGTCAATAAAATTTACAGGTGGTAGCATTTTACGCCGATAAAAAATTTTATAACATTGAGGATTGCAAAAACTAGCTCGTGATAATCACTAATTCTAGTACAAATAGTTTTAGTATGCTGGAAACACAACTTTCTGTTTGTAAGAATCAGGTCGATACATGATGGGTTAAGAACTGATTTATAACAAGTTTGTGTTTTTATAAGATTAAAAATTGATAAATCTGGAGAAATTCTTTTATGCAATTTTCGCAAGGTTGTAAATAAAAATCCGTCAGAGTTAAGTTTGTAAATAAAGATCAAGGGCCTCTTTATGGTGAAAAAAGAAGTAGTAATTTTTTTGGTTCGGAGGTTTATACACTGAAAAAACTGACCATTTATGCATTTATGCATATAATTTAATTTGAAACACTATTGTTTAAATGTTATCAGGCAGTGTTATTTTATTTAATTTTCTTGATAAAATATTTTAAAGTTTTATAGCCACTATAGAAGAATTGGTTTATGGGAAATGAGCTGTCTAATTTATTTTTACTAATAACAAGTAGATCAACGGATTTGTTTAAGAACGTCGTAATATCCGCAAATATATTACAGGTTGAGTTGATATTTAGGAAAGCAAAGCTGACATTGTTTGAATATGTTAAGCTAAGTTTATCCAACTCACATTTATGAATATAATCCGTATTGGGGTTACTATAGCAACTTTAGTGATTACTGCTATATAAAGAATTATGTCAGACAGACTTCAGATATGCAATAAAATTCATTGTTAGTCTACCAGAACCTCACGTATTTAAATAAAGACCCTGGTGGCCAAGGTATTCCTTAGTTAAATTAGAGTATTTACGAAACAAAATTTAGAATATATTATCTTTTTTGCTATTCGTATTGACGTCAACTGTGCTTTAGCATTATCAAATTGACAAATCGGTGTTGATAGAATAATTTTGCATAATGGGTTAGATTTTGATATAAATCAACAAGATTGTTTAACTTATGCATAGCTATTTCGGATAAATCACTAACACAGTTATTTGTTCCATAATAGATAACTACTTTTGAAGGTTCTTTCTTCAAAAAACTCTTTGCGTTTTTAGTAACAAAGACTATGGTCAATTTAAAAAAGTTGTTCTTAGTCAAGTAAGAACAAATTATGTTACGTTGTATTTGATCAGACTATACGTTTTTAAGATTTTTATTACATACATACTTGTTGTCAAATAAAGTGCATTTTGCATATTGCTAAAAAATAAATAAGACTTTGTAAAAAACATTTATAACATTGTTTAATGAATTATTGAATTGATAAATATTATATAATTTACTAAATGAATTAATGAATTAACGTACGTTATATAATTTGTTATTTTATAGCATGGGTTGTCCTCACAAAAATCACACAAAAAAGAAAAAAAAGTGACAGATACAGACTTGTTTCAGAAAACTATTTTTTGCTAAGTAATTTCCTTAGCATTGGTTTGTCGGCGAACCAATGCTAATAGCTGTTTCACCCACAAACTAGTTCCTTAATAGGGTGGGCTAAAACCTATAAAAAAAGAGTTACCTCTAATTACTTGGCCTTTGATGCAATGAGAAAAATGTTGAGAAAAAATCTTAAGATTATATAGAAGACCTAAAAAATGGTAAATTTTCTTAGGGTAAAATCCCTAATCTTAATAAAATATCTAATATATGTTTAGTATGTACAAATTCAACACTAAACGGTTCAAAACTTTAAATAATTTTTATTCATGAAATATTTTGTGACATCTATTTAAATGTTATTTACAAAAAACTGATATCAAATAAACCTTTCTTTCAAATAAAATTGATTGATTAACAGATTGATATATTTAATATCTGTTTATTGTGTATTTAATAATTATTAAACTATGTTCGTTTTTCAAAACATAGTTACACTTATAGACGTTATTGGGTAATGTTCGCCTGCAGAATTTTGTTGTATTATGTGTTTATTTCTAAACTTACTAAAAATCTAGCGTTTTTTGCTATTCACTTGGTTTAGTATCAATATTAAAACTTTTTAAACTTATTTAACTGATTGTTCCAAAAACCTTTTTATTTTGATTCAAAGAAAAAATAAACTTCCTGACTCAACGGCTAAGAAAATTTGTTGAAATATTGTAAATATTAACAGCTAATATTTATTTTTTTCACGACAAAAATCTCATTGGAAATGTTATTTTCATGGAAATGTTAGCCAATCAGGCTGAAGAGGTCGGTAGGAAAGTGATTAGTAAGTTTTTGCATTTAAATTGCCTCATAGAATACTTATATGGTCAAGAAGACACTTGTATTGGATATGGTTAAGAGTGAAAATGACAATGAAGCCAATGTTAGTAAAAGAGATCATCCCTAAATAAATGAATATGTAAGAGTGCTTTGAAATCCCAAAACTTGTTTCAAGTTTGCATGGTTTTTATAAAATGACATTATTTTTCCAATTACACACAAATCCACTGATTTTGAGACTGATTGCAGAAGATAAAATATTGTGATACCTTTTATATATCTTTTAAACAAAAATTACTTTATAATTTTTTATATTAAATTTATTGCAAAAACATTTAATTTAAGATTTCAGTTCCATTTTCAAAACTTTGAAAAACAAACAAAACTTTTTACAGAAGCTTAAGCTTCTCTGGTTAGACATGGTCGCATAGATTGAGGTTTTTTGAAACAAAAATAGGATTATGAAATGAATAGAAAATTGGAACATCAAAATGTAATCTTGTATTGTAATATTATGTACTTTTTTTGTGTTTCACAAAGCCATTAAAACATATTTAAAAATGTCAATTACTTATAAATGAAGAAAAAAAAAAACCAACTAATAAAATTGATTTATTTAAAATACTTTGGAATTGTTGCCAAAATATCACGATAGATATTTTTGTAAACACTATTTGCCTCGTCTTGAAGTATTAAAATATAGATACTATATGAAAATAAAAAATATTTATATGTTGTACCTATTTTCGATCTTTTTTATTACAAAAATTTATATATATATATATATATATATATATATATATATATTTATATGTATATATATAAATATATATATATATAAATATATATATATATATATATATATATATATATATATTTATATATATATTTATATATATATATGTATATATATATATATATATATATATATATATATATATATATATATATATATATATATATATATATATATATACATAGGTATATATATATGCACACATTTTGCATTTGCTATATAAATATGTATCAAATTGTGTGACATATTATTAAAAGACCAAATAACAGTTCTAAATTAAACAAATTTTGAAGCAATATTACTACCGAACTTTGTTTAACACTTTTGTTCCTAATCATAGCAAACTAGCAAAAAAGCATAAAAATAACCATTTACACTAATAACTTCTTCGAGCCTAATATTACATGTTACAATGCAAAGTTATTTGCATTGTGTTCTAAATTCTTTGCTAAATTAAGAAAGCCTTTAGGCACAATCTTAATGCACAAAAATAATAAATGCAGAATCTTGTATAAAAAATTAAGCAATGTCAGTCTAAAGTAATATATATATATATATATATATATATATATATATATATATATATATATATATATATATATATATATATATATATATATATATATATATATATATATATATATATATATATTATTTATATATATATATATATATATATATATATATATATATATATATATATATATATATATATATATATATATAAATGTATGTATATATATTCAAATTTTTTATATTCTTAATTTTTTCTTTGAGGTAATATTCATATAGATTCAGAGAAATATAAAATATTTTGATATATAGGCACATTTATGTATATAAACTTACCTGTCAAAAATTACAGACAGTTTTCCATGTTAAATACATAAAATATATATCTAATATAAAATTAATCAAAACATTAATCCTACTCAAATCAGTAACAGTTCGACTGCCTAAATGTTTTTATTATTAACCCTTCTATTTAAAAAAAGAAACAATTGATTTAAAGTGACTAAAAAGCACTTTAGCTCTTTCTAATTGCACTAAAAAATAAAATAAATCTTGCTTTGCTAAGTTGCCTAATTGTTAAGAATCTGAAAACAAATAAGTAAAAAACCAAGAACAAACAAACATTTATTTTCTAAAACTACACTATTTAAACAAATTAAATTAAACAGAGAACAACATTGATACTCCTTGAAAGCTGAAAAACTTTTCAGCTCAAATTTGCTTGCAGACCTTGCTTATAAAACCACTTGAATAAGAAAAGCATCAAAAAAGCCTAGAAGCTTCTTAAAAATGGTATATGCAACATTGAACTTTAAATGTTGATTGGTGTAGAAATTTTTAAAAAATTTAAAATGATTTGTTCTTCTATAGCAAATAAATACACCATAAATCTGAAGTTAAAAATGTAACGAATAAGTAAATACAAAGAAAAACATCATATGTGAATTGAAAATCAATGTACCTGATAGAGATAAGCTGTTGTGATACCTGAGTAGTAGTTGCTCAATTTTTTTTTTTCATGATAAACAAATTTTATTTATAGCGAAATGATGTCTTGAATGAATTTCAGTAAATAATTAAAAGCAGTGAGTTCTAATAATGAAACTACCTATAAATCATTTTTAACAGCTGACACCAACGTAAAGATAAGCCAAAGGTAACAACATTACGCGAAAAATTATTAAAAATAATGCAAAGTGTTTTCAGAATAGTTATATTAAAGGCTAGGCAACACTTAGACCTAAAGCAGTAACATCGCATGACTGGTAAGGTTGATAAATCTTGCTCTACACGTTAGCCAAGTCACTCCACTTTGAAATCATGGAAACAACATTATATAAACATTATAACATTATATATACTAATATAAAAAAATTATCAAAACAAATATATAAAGAATCCAAACTAATGTAAAATAAAATTAAATTGCCATCGTCAAAAGCAATACAGGTTTCTTAAGTTTATTTGATAGAAGTTAAGAAAAACCTGCAACCATATTAGCAAAAACTTATTTAAAAAAGTTAAAATTTATTTTGTTTCTACTAAAGAAAAAAAAATTTAGAAACAAACAACATACCTTCGCACATATTTATTGTGTGGATATTAAAATGCTTTAAAAAATTTTTTTAGTTATAGAAAAAGAAATTTAGAAACAAACAACATATCTCCGCAGCGTCATAAGGCATGCGTTAGGAGAAAACATTGAACAAAACGGGTTATTAACGCAGGTTTATAAATTTTTTCCCCCCAACACACTATTATGCTGCCGCAACTCCAAGGATATACATATATATATATATATATATATATATATATATATATATATATATATATATATATATATATATATATATATATATATATATATATATATATATATATATATATATATATATATATATATATATATATATATATATATATATATATATATATATATATATATATATATATATATATAGTATATATATATATATATATATATATATATATATATATATATATATATATATATATATATATATATATTAAATTTTTTGAAAAGAAAAAGAACATATATTTTTTTAAAGAACCAAAGTATTAACAATACTATAGATAAATTTTATTTATAACAAAATGTTGTCATGGCTTTTATCCCAATTATTAAAAGCATTTGAAAGCATGAAACTACCTATAAATATCTTTTAATGGTAGACACCATCTAAGAATTATAGTAATCTATGTTTTCAATATTAACATGTATAACACGAAGCTTTAAATTTTTAAGTACAATTTAAAAAAGATTACAATAAACTAATTACTTATAAAATTTTAAAAAGATTTTATATATACTCAATGTCTACTTAGACATTTTGAAAAGATTACTATTTTGAAAACTTGAAACTTTAAATTTAAATTTTGAAAAACTGAAACTTTAATTCTACCTTAAAGAAAACAGATATATATTGAAAAGTATTTTTGTTTCTTTTTAAAAATTTAAAAATGCTTTTAAACTTACTCCCTCCAATATTATTATATAATATATATATCATATATGATAAATAAACCTCTACAATTTCCTTGGTTTAACAACTCGATTATGATTAATAACAACTCTGTAAACATGAATTTTCTAATAACCTAAATAAATTATAAACATTTAAACTTAAATAAAAGTGTATGCAAATGATAAATGCTATATTAAATACAGAAAGACAAACATAAAATAACACAATTAAATCCTAAACCAAAATTCATTCATGCAAGACAAATTATTATATATTTATTGAAAAGCCAGAATCATATTTTTTTTCAAAGAGCAAAAGTATTAACAATACTAAAGATAAATTTCATTTATAACAAAATTTTCAATAAAAATTAAATTAAGATAAATTTATAACAAAATGTTGTCATGGCTTTTATCCCAATAACCAAAACTATGTGAAATCATGAAACTACCCATAAATATATTTTAACGCTAGACACAATCTAAGAATTAAAGTTACTTATAAAATTTAAAAAAGATTTTAGATTACTTATAATTTTAAGCTACTAAACATTATCTACTTTATGTCAAGTTGGACATTTTGAACTCGTACCATGAAAGGTTGATAGGAAATCTTTAAGAAAGCACGCGGTAAAGAAAAGTCTAGAAACTACTTAAAAAGTGTATTTTACAGATACAGAACCGTACCGTAACTATAAAACAATACGCGTAACTATGCGCAATAATAATAATATTCATAGGCTATTTATTATAGGCGAATTATATATTTATATATATATATATATATATATATATATATATATATATATATATATATATATATATATATATATATATATATATATATATATATATATATATATATATATATATATATATATATATATATATATATATATACATATATATATATATATATATATATATATATATATATATATATATATATATATATATATATATATATATATATATATATATATATATATATATATATATATATATATATATATATAATCATTAAATTACTGATGCTAAGCTAGTGGTTCTAAAGTTTGCGCTATAATCGATTGGTTAGAGTCCGCAACAAACTTTTGGAGGGTACTTATAAACGTTTGCTCATTAACTATTTAATTGCAATACTAATGTTGATGCTTCTCATAATGGTAACATCACTTCCAATAAACTACAGGGGATTTTATATGAAATAATTAAATACTTTTTTTTGTGTGTGAATGTAAGTAATATGTATTAAGAATAACGGAGTAAGATTTGTGGAGTTTTAATAAGTTTGGCTAAGTGCACCAGTTTGATCAAGCTATTGAGTAGATTTGGTACTGCTTTTGAATTATTGTGTTCTTTTTTCCATTGTTCATCCTAATAATAAATCTCTTTAAGTACGATTCCTAGGTGTTTGTGGCTGTTGATAATAATTCCATGTTTAGTATTGTTAAGGACAAGAAAAGTTATAGTGGTATTTTTTGAGCACCTGTGATAAATTCTAAAAACTTACATTAAGAGAAAAAATTTAATACCTTCAACCAAAGACCATATTGCGACACTATCATCAACGTATTAAGGTAAGTTAGCAGAAGTGACGCATTTTCTGCAATACACGTGATACATTCTTTTGCATTTAATCAAAAGCAAAATGATTATTGTTAAAGTTGTTTATATTGGTTATATACAAAAATAGTTCAAATACTTAAAAAGATTTTTAGTGTGTGATTTTTTAAGATTTTTGAATCTAGCACTCCTAACCTTGTAGCTATTTTGTATGAAAATTTTAATCCATTAAAAAATAAAAATTTATTTCCATTAGCTTGAGTAGTGTTTACCCACTAATTTTTATAAAAATTTTTATTAACTAATTCAAAATGACTTAAATAATTTATTTAAAGTTATTTGCATTATTAATAAATTATTAGTTCCATTTTTTACTTTGATTTAATAAGGTGTCTTTAACAACTATGAATAATCACCCTCTATCACTAAAAAGAAATAGTTTAATTTAGAAAACTTGTAACAAAAAACAAATTATAAATATTTATAATATATTTTTACTTTTAATATTTCATAGACTTGTTTGCTTTAAAAGAAAAAAGCGATTTATCTCAAAATAATCTTCTTAACACATTAAGCGTCTTTCCAAAAGAATATGAAATAAAATTCGAAGCTTGTTTCACTTCTTTTCCTTCTGGTAATCCTAATTTAACTTGGCCAAATATTTTTAACTTCAATATCGGAAATACTAATGATGTTAATAACCGAGCATTAGGGTTATGGTTTAATCCGAATGGAGATATTCTTTTTCACGGATTGATAAATAATATCGCTTTCAAAGTAGTTTTTCAGAGTGTTATCACGATAGGATGTAGCCAATACTCAATTAGTCAGCACTTATTTCAGTACTTTAATTTTTCTATAGAGGTATCAGGAAAAACTATATTTACAATTGAAAACACCGGTGCAAAAGAATTCAACAATGTTAACATGTATTTTTCTGACCCTTGGCACGGCTCACATCCAGGCTATGTAAAAAACCTTTCAGTAACAAAAGGATGTTCAGGTAAATATAAATATTTTTTTCTAACATATTCTACATATATAAACATACGAAATATTTGGTTTTGATTGTTTTTAGAATTGTTCACATTGGTAGAAAAGAGTGACATACTTCAAAACAACCTTCTTCAAAGAATAAACGTTTTTCCAATAGAATATGATATATCATTTGAAGCCTGCTTAACATCATTTACTTCAGGAAACTATTCAACTAACTTATCCAACGTGTTTTATTTAACTAATAGTGGTAACAATTTTTGTCTCGTATGTATGTGGTTTTCTCCAAATGGTGAAATGCATTTATCGGCATTCATAAATAGTACATCTTATAATTTCACAACAAAGCCTTTTGAATTAGGATGCAAACAATATAAAATTAGTCAGACTCTATATCAAGGAAATTATATTTTTACTATACTAGTTGATGGATGGACTCTTTCAACAGTCAAAAACGCGGCACCACAAGAGTTTAGCGATGTTCAAATCTATATTTCCAATCCGTGGACTGTAGCACAACCGGGATACACAAACAACTTTGTGATAACAAGAAGATGTTCAGGTACACAAAAATATTCTTATAAAAAGCAGGAACTAATTTTTTTGATGCTTTTTTATTTCTCATAAAATTACATATAAATAATATTTGTATAATAATAAAAACTAGCAGTATGCAACCTGTATTACGGGTTAATAATAAGTAAAACATTAATAACAACATAACTTGATATATATGACCTAAAAGAAATATAACTAAATACAAATTTATCTAGGAATAATTTTTTAGATTCGGTAAGTTCGGCTCCCTATTAGCAATGTCATTGCATATAGTTATAATTGTATTATAAAACAGCAAACAACTTGTAAAATATGTTATACATAGTCATTATCAACAGTGGTATTAAAAAGTACGCAAGAGCTCAGTAAATACTAAGATTTTATCAATGTTTCCTTCACTAATTCTGATTTAAGCGAGACAAAGACAGTGTTTCCATGGCAGCATTTTAAAAAGAAGACACGCAATAAGTATTTAGCATAGGAAAAATTACTGTTGAATATATTGACAAAATCTAATTTTTTTTTTTTTTCTTGATTTATTATTTGTTTTACAATGAAAACGTTTTTTTTTATCATTTTTTTGAATTTTATTACACATTTTTCCACTTTTTAGAGCAGTTAAAAAATTTCTTTTAATACTTATATAAATACTAATTTATCATGTCAAACGGGACTTTTTAATAACTTTTTTGTAACCCCCTCTCCTTTATTAAGAAAATAATAGTAATATTTTCTTTAAAAGCGTTTAATGTGTATAATTAAATTTTATTTAATTAAATAAAGGTAAGTCTCTCGATCCCAGATGGAAAATACATTTCAAACAAAAATTTTCAAATATATCATGCTTCTAGAATACGACACTTCTTTTATTACAAAATCACAACTTTATTTAAAAATAAATATATATCTTTTTAACAAATTAATAAAACAAAATTATTATTTTTGTTTTCCTGTATCGCATAAAAACGTCATAAATTTCTTTTTCTTTTCTTGATCTTCAATTTATTAATACTAGCAAAAGGCAACCCCTAATACGGGTTTTGGTCGGTCTGTTACATAATTAATTTATAGTAGCTGTTTTCCACAATTTAATCTTGCAAAACCTTAACTAATACCCTTTTAGAAAATTGCCTTCAGCTTGAAAAAATTAATCCATCTGTAAAATTAACATAAAAATTATGAGGAGGTAAAATAATTTACCAACTACTACTAAACATTATTAAGTAATTTACAAATGGCACAGGCCATAACAGTTTAAGGCAGAACCATTTTCATCGATCTTCCTAAGTTTAACACAATACGTTTTTAGTTACTGACGCAAAATAATAACACTTGGTTATACTTTAAATTGACGAAAGTGTCAACTAAATCCTTAAAATAATTTTTATAACACGAACCATTAAGATTAAAATGAAGTTAACTTATATTATACAGGAGTTATCAATTTTTTGTTATCCCCTTGATTAATTGTTCTTTAGAAAAGAAAATTGTTAACTTAAAAATGTTAAATGCACACGTTTAAATAAATTAATAAAAAATAACAAAGTTTATTAAACTACGCAACTGAGTACAAATACCTTTCAAACAAAAAAAAATTTAATTTACGATCAAACATAGGTATAACAAATTTTTTAATACATTAATGCATCATAGAACAAACTAAAATAAAAATTATAAGAGATAAGTAGACATAAAAAATTGTAAACCAAGCTGACCCGACCCGGGTCTTGTTAAGTCTGTTCAACACAGACCATTTGTATATTATTTATTTGGCCTCTTTATTTCATTAACTTTTTAGTAAACGGTAATTTGCCACCATTTACTAAAAATTCCTTTTGTAACTCGAAATTTAATTTTTCTAAATATTTTGGCTCTAATAAAGAGGTTCCTTCCCTCTTTTTGCTTTAATGGTGGCCTGGTGAATAAAGTAAAATATTAAAATGTAAAACAATGATCTACTTATATAAAAATGTTTTCTTTCTTTCCTCAAAAGTGTTGCAAATACAGACTAAGCTAACTAATTAGTTAAACACATAAATAAAACTTAAGTAACTCGATATTAATGCGCAAAACTACAATATTCTCCATATTTTTAAAGGTTTTTAGTTACGACCGCCCATTCAACCCATACGACCCCCCAATCAATTCTCTCTCTACAATTCTCAATACTAATTCTTATTTAAGTCTCATCTAAGAGAGAGAGGAAGTGTTTTAAAAACACCATGTTAGAAAAAGTAAAAAAGTCATGCAATAAATAACAGTAACTGGTTTTATTATGCTACCAATAAACAAAATTATTTTTACCTTAACTAAAAGTTAATTTCCAGCATTTCTTAATTAATTTCCAGCTTCTCTTTAACTGTTGACAAATGATTAATATTGTAAATTTCACATCATATTAAATTTACAAAATTAAAACCATATTTCAACAGTAAGCAAAATAATCAAGTGATGACAAAAACAACTAAAAAAAAAATGAACAATTATATTAAGATTACAAAAGTAAAAATAAAAAAATAAAATCATTTAAAACTGAAATTTTTATTATTTGTTACTATATATAGTAAAATTCATACTTTGCTTTATTTTAAAGTGTCTAATGTAAAGTCAAATAATAGACATTAACAGCGCTTGACACTGAATTCTGCCAAGTAAGTTTTTGGTTCATCAAGCAAAATTTCTTATATTTCAACGACAATTAATTTTATCATGCCTAGATCTATTTCTTTCATATGACAACAATTTCATGTCACCTATAACCATTTACACTAATAACTTCTTCGAGCCTAATATTATAAATCTGTTATCATTAAATATATATTACCAGTTTTTATGCTACTATTGCAACTGAATAAATGAACGTTTTATATTTTTACTACTGAAAAATATAAAACAAAATTTATTTACATTATTTTAATTTAGCAAAGAATTTAGAACACAGTGCAAAGTTATTTGCATTGTGTTCTAAATTCTTTGCTAAATTAAGAAAGCCTTCAGGCACAATCTTAATGCACAAAAATAATAAATGCAGAATCTTGTATAAAAAATGAAGCAATGTCAGTCTAAAGTAATATATATGTATGTATATATATATTCAAATTTTTTCTATTCTTAATTTTTTCTTTGAGATAATATTCATATAGATTCAGAGAAATATAAAATATTCCGATATATAGGCACATTTAAGTATATAAACTTACCTGTCAAAAATTACAGTCAGTTTTTCATGTTAAATACATAAAATATATATCTAATATAAAATTAAACAAAAAATTAAACTTACTCAAATCAGTAACAGTTCGACTGTCTAAATATTTTTATTATTAATCCTTCTATTTAAAAAATAAAAACAAATGATTTGAAGTAACTAAAAAGCACTTTAGCTCTTTCCAATTGCACTAAAAATTAAAATAAATCTTGCTTGCTAAGTTGCCTAATTCTTAAGAATCTGATAACAAATAAGTAAAAAACCAAGAACAAACAAACATTTATTTACTAAAACTACTCTTTTTAAATAAATTAAAGTATACAGAGAACAACATTGATACTCCTTGAAAGCTGAAAAACTTTTTATCTCAAATTTGCTTGTAGACCTTGCTTATGAAACCACTTGAATAAGAAAAGCATCAAAAAAGCCTAGAAGCTGGTATATGCTACATTGAATTTTAAATGTTGATTGGTGTAGATGTTTTTAAAAAAATTCAAAATGATTTGTTCTTCTATAGCAAATAAATACACCATAAATCTGAAGTTAAAAATGTAATGAATAAGTAAATACAAAGAAAAACATCATATGTGAATTGAAAATCAATGTACCTGATAGAGATAAGCTGCGGTGATACCTGAGTAGTATCACCACATACACGTATTTATTAAAAAAATTTTAACTTTGATCATAATATAAATAATATTTAACTTTGATCATAATATAAAAATTTCTAATGAATATATATTTAGATACCTTAAAATGAAGCATAACACAACACTCTTTTGACAAATTCCAGAGCAAATTTTTTAAATTTTTCTATTCCTTATTATTTTATTCCTTATATAGATAAAATACATATTAAATGCCACATTCAACTAATGTAATTAATACCTTTATTAGATCTCTCTTGATTAACTAAAGAATTTAAATTTTAAATAAACTCTAACTAAATTTTAACAAACAAACAACCGAAATAAATCTTCACTTTAATAGAACGTTGTTAAGTTGATTAAATAAATCAAACAATTTAATCTACTCTAATAATCTACTACCTTATTAATAAACTTTAACTATTTTTCTACGACTCAGTGTACTATAATATAGATATTTTTAAAGTAAAAAAGAATTTAATATTATAATATATATGATTTTAAAAACCTGAAATTTTAAATCTACTTCGAAGAAAACAGATATATATTGAAAAGTATTTTTATTTCTTTTTAAAAATTTAAAAATGCTTTATAACTTACTTGTTTCGATATTATCACCAACGTCTAAATAGAAAAACAAACAAACATCCAAGTCGACTCATTCTTAAACCTTATAATATATATGATTTAAAAAACCTGAAATTTTAAATCTACCTCGAAGAAAACAGATATATAATAAAAAGTATTTTTATTTCTTTTTAAAAATTTAAAAATGCTTTATAACTTACTTGTTTCATATTATTACCGACGTCTAAATAGAAAAACAAAGATATATGAGTTATATATTAGATTTTAAAATATATATGACTTTAAAAAACTGAAACTTTAAATCTACCTCAAAGAAAACAGATATATATTGAAAAGTATTTTTATTTCTTTTTAAAAATTTAAAAATGCTTTTTAACTTACTTGCTTCAATATTGTCATCATCTAAATAGAAAAACAAACAAACATTTAAGTCGACTTATTCTTAAATCTAGTTTGATTTCTTCAATAATAAAAAAAATTTAATCTTTGAGGATTAAATTCATTTACAAAAATCCGTTTAAACCATTTTAACATTGTAAAGTTAATTTAAAGTTTTAAAAAACTGAAACTTTAATTCTACCTCAAAGAAAACAGATATATATTGAAAAGTATTTTTATTTTTTTTTAAAAATTTAAAAAGGCTTCTAAACTTACTCCCTCCAATATAATTATATAATATATATAGTATATATGATAAATAAACCTCCACAATATCCTTGGTTTAACAACTCGATTATGATTTATAACAACTCTGTAAACATGAATTTTCTAATAACCTAAATAAATTACAGATAGACAAACATAAACTAACACAATTAAATCATAAACCAAAATTCATTCATGCAAGACAAATAATTTTATATTTATTGAAGAGCCAGAAACATATTTTTTTTCAAAGAGCTAAAGTATTAACAATATTTAAGACAAATTTTATTTATAACAAAATTTTCAATAAAAATTAAATTAAGATAAATTTATAACAAAATGTTGTCATGGCTTTTATCCCAATAACCAAAACTAAGTGAAAGCATGAAACTACCCATAAATATATTTTAACGCTAGACACAAATTAAGAATTAAAGTAATCTATAACACGAAGCTTTAAATTTAAAATTACAATTTAAAAAAGATTACAATAAATTAATTACTTTTAAATTTAAAAAAAAATTTAGATTACCTATAATTTTAAGCTACTAAACATAATCTACTTAATGTCAACTTAGACATTTTGAACTCGTACCATGAAAGGTTGAAGGGAAATCTGTAAGTAAGCACGCGGTAAAGAAAAGTCTAGAAACTACTTAAAAAAGTGTATTTTACAGATACAGAACCGTACCGTAACTATAAAACGATACGCGTAACTATGCGCATTAATATTCATAGGCTATTAATTATAGGCGATAAATCCTATAAAGTAAAAATAAGATTTTTACTCTACAACTTTTCTTTTTATGAATCTAAAAAATAACAACACACGAATATTCGTTCAAATATTCTAAAAGAATATATTGTGAATTTCAACTTGAGTAATTATGTAAAATAAAACTATGTAAAATTTTTTCTCCTAAGTTTGTCGGGTTACAAAGTTTATGTTAGGCCTGTATTAAAATCTTGCACCATTTTGAAGCCCTCATCTTTTAAGAGATATAACTTGCATAGAAAATATTTAAAAATATTTTACCAGATTTGTATGTAAAAGTCGTCATATTACAAACACTGATTACTTATCATGACTTATTATTTTCCAAGTAGAATCTTTTGAGTATCGGAGAGTTAAACTTGATTTTTATATGACCTTATTAAATTGTACATAATCTCCTTGATTTACGATTTTCAGATTTTTTTACTTTTTCCGATTCGAAATATATTACTAGAAGTCATTCACAAATACATTAATGATACTAGGAGGTTTTTTATAGCGAAAGAATTATTAAAATAAGGAACTCACTTCGTGAACACGTAGCAAACTCGTCCTCACTGTCAGCATTCAAATCGAATTTAAAAAAGTATGAATTAAAATGTCACGCAATCTACAAGTGACTTGGTTTTTTCACATAAACTCATATTGAATATTCTTTTTTGTTTTGTATTTGTTGCAACTTAAGAGTAATTTTTTAATTACCTGTATCACCATATTTTGAATATTTTTCAAATACGAATAAATAAATAATAATAACAATAAAAATAATAACAATAATAAATAAATTAAATACTTTTTAGAAAGATTTAAAATTATTTTCATTTCACAAAGTTTATTGCTTAAGTTTTGTTTTGATTTGGTTACGAGAACACTTTTATTGTTTTACAATTAAGAATCTAGTAGTAGAGTAATACGTTTTGGATTGAGTGTATTTTGTATTTTGAAATATGATAGGGTATACACAAATTATTCTTTTAACTATTGAGTTGAAAAAGGTCGGTGATATTTTTAACAACTTTGAAAATAAATATAAGAGCGTGGTTTAGTTTTTTTGCATTTAGAATACTGAATCTCATAAGTACTGTGTGCGTCAGAAAGTAACAATTTAGATTTGACACTATCCTTTTAGCCTATTTTCATTTGCTGTCATTATTCAAGTGCTGTATATTCAACGTTTATATAATTTAACTAGTAACTTTAACTACACCTTCAACTAGCAATTTCAACAGGAACTTCGACATATAACACTAGGTGGTCTCTCCATGTTACATTTTTATCTAAAACTACACCTAAAAAATTTGTTGTTTGCTCATTTTTTTAAAATTTGTTAACAATAAAAACGTTCGAAAATTTAGCGAATATTACACATATTCAACTTTTACTCGGTAGTTAGTTAGATTAGCCGGTTTTCGTATAAACATAGTAGGAAATATTGGTATTACATTTAGAAACTTTCTATTAAAAAAATATTTATTGAAACGAAATTCCTATTAAATAAAATTCTTATTAATTAAAACATTTATTAAAAAACTTGAGATATATGAAATCACAGGAGTCGTTTTAAAATGGGTAAAGATTTATTTGAATAAACGTACTCAACATGTGTATCCAGTAGGGATGGAACTTTAACTTATTTTGATGCAAAAACTCGAATTACTTTTAGGCTTAAATTAATTTAGATAACTTATATAAAAATAAATAATTTACTTTCATTTAAAGGTAATTCTTTTTTTTTTACGTATATTATATAACATGTAAAACCTAATTACTTAAGTTTTTTAAATAAATAACAGTTACTTGAAAAAGTAAATGACTTTTACAAGTAAAATAGTTGCACTTTTACTTTTATTTGTAAATGTAATTTACTTTTAATTGTATGTCGTGTAAAGTAATTTACTTTGAAATGTAATTTTGGTTATAATTACGTAAAAAATTTATATCGAAATGTAATTTACTTTTTACATGTAAAAAAAGTTATTTATGAAATAAACTTACGTAAATATAATATTCAAAAAACATATCACTTACTTTACAAAGTAAAATAAAACTACATCATAACAACAAACTACTATTACGTGTAAAGTTAAATAATTAGCAAAAACAGCTTATATAAAAGTACTTTGAAAAAAATTCTTGTTTACATTTACAATTGAAACTAATTTTTTTCGTTGAAATTTTTTACTTTACTTTGTAAGTAAGTAAAGTGCAAGTTATATTATTTACTTTCTCATGTTGAATGTAAACCAATTCAGTCAGACAAATACTTTTGTTTAATTATTTTTAGATTTGTTTTCTTTGAAAGAAGATTATAACATAGTCAGTAATAGCCTTTTTCATACGATTGAAATTTTTCCTAAAGAATATGAAATAACTTTTGAAACCTGTTTAACTTCATTTACAAATGGAAACTATTGGACTCACTCATCAAATCTTTTTTATTTTACTAATAATGGCTACGATTCATGTGTTTTATGCATATGGTTTTCTCCAAGTGGTGAATTAGGGTTGATCGCAACGATAAGTAGTACATCATATGTTTTACTAACTAAACCCTTTGAATTTGGATGCAAAAAATATAAAATAAACCAGGTACTACATCATGGATATTATGTTTTTAGTCTAGAAGTTGATAAGTTGATTCTCTCAAGAGTCAAAAATATTTCTCCACAAGAGTTTGCCAAAGTACAATTGTATATTTCCGATCCGTGGGCGATAGCGCAGCCTGGCCTAATGAGAAATTTAATTATCAGAAAAGGATGTTCAGGTAAATAAAAAAGTTTAAATAATTTTCTTCATTTTTTATATTAATTTAATTATAATAACTGTATTATATAATAATATAAATCTAAATTTAAATTCAGTTTTTAACAAATTCTTTTACTACACAATTAGTTAATATAATAAATTATATTTACAAAAAACTCAACTTTATAAAAAATAAAAATTAATTTTTTATCAATTTACAAATAAAACCTTGCATTGTAACTTTTTGTAATAACAGCATTTGCAATTTTTCTGTTAGATATTACACGAGGTTTATTTAGTCTTTTAGGTTTAATTTGTTAAAGTTACTTTTAACTTTAACAAATTAATTTCGTTGACGCTTTTTTTGAAGATGTATCTTTTGAAATGAATTATTTTTAATATTTTCCGTCAAACGATTTTTATTGCATTGCCTTGCATAATCCAGATTAGGTCCTTTTCTAGAGGTGTACACGAATTTAGATGCGCTTGAGTCTAAATTTTAAAATAAGTATATTTTATAATAACAAGTAAAAGCTGTAACTAATGTAAAACAGATGTGGATTACATAACCTTAACTCCCACCCCTAAGTACAATGCATAAGGCATTGTACTTAGGGGTGGGAGTTAAGGTTAGTCTAACTAAAAGTAATTAACTAAGTTTTTAGTTTAACTGAAATTACTTGAATAACTCCTTAGTTAACTAAAATTAGTTAACTAACTTTTTAGTTAACTAAAATCAGTCGACTAACTTTTTAATTAACTAAAATTACGCGACTAACTTTCTAGTTAACTAAAATTACCCGACTAACTTTTTAGGTAACTAAAATTACCCGACTAACTTTTTAGCTAACTAAATTTAGTCGGCTAACTTTTTAGTTAACTCAAATTAGTCGACTTAATATTTAGTGTAACTAAATTTAGTCGACAAAAGCAAGATTTAGTGCTTATATTTAATATTTAGTGCTTATATGAAATATTTTTTTGCATAAAAATTTTACACACGAGGAAGCTTTATTAAGGCGATAAATATTATTTTAACGCAATTAAACACTTTACTAATTGTGAATCCTATAACCCAATCGAACTAAACTGTTATTCAAAAGAAATGTTTAAGCAAAATTCGATAACTTTTATTTTTTTTTAGCTCGGATACAACTGCCTCTGAAGTTGTTGCAACTGTTTTTAAACACCTATTCAGCATGCAAAATACAAATAATGCCCGTTAGTCAGTTAAATCAACTTTGGTATGCTTAATGAACGTTTAACTTATTTTTTATATTGCTGCTTCCTATAGGTAGTGTGCAGTAACAAGCGCACTTCAAAAATAATCTCTCCTGCCAAGGCCGCACCGACGTGAGTATAAACACCTTCCCAGTGTTACAACATTCTGTCGGTTTTGTCGGTAATTTGAAAAATTTGAGACTCGGTCGGTTAAAACTGCAACTTGGCTTTTAAATAAAAAAAAGCCCTGCTTTGGTGAGATTTTTATGGTAAAAAAGCTCCGTTGTTCAGCCCTGTCTCCTGACATATTATAGAAATCGATTCAATCTCTAATTTTCACAACAAATCTACGACTCCCCCTCCCCACCCCTTCAAATATCAACCTCTCCTAACGACTATTAAAACCCGCAAACACTACAGTTAGGCAGGCGAAAGTATTGACATGAACCCAAAAGTTAATTGTTAAATAATATAATAGAGCAATAAATATATGAATATATTTATTGCTCTCAGAGTATAGTTGTTCGTCGGTTAGCGATACTTGCAAAATTTTAAAGGAAGATTGGTATTTGCATTTTTAAATGGAATATCCGCAATATAAGTTATTGAGTAGTGTATAAAATGCTTTAAATAATACTTAACTGTTAAATAACAAAAACATTTAATGAAGTTAAGTTCGCTTTTAAAGCCAGGAAATTGTTTATGACATTTTAATTACTTGAAAAATGAAATACGTAGTTTTTAAGCACTTTAAAATACGTGTAAAACCCGGTCGAAACATTTATCATTAAAATTCTATAACTTTTTTATTATATATATTTTTATATTTTTTTCATTAGATAGATGTTTAAAAAAATACTAAAGAATATATAGATAAATATTTTTAAAAAATCTAATAAAATAATACAGGTTAAAAAGTTTGCTGTTTTAGGCAACATTATAATAGAACCGTACGCTCGAGAACATTAAAATCACAAATTAATTTGTTTAATTTTTATTATTTTCTTAACCATTTTTTTAAACACATTTTAAATATAAAAACTAAATTATATTTTACATTTTTGTAACAAAAAAAAAAACAGTTTCACGGAAACGAGTTCGAATACTAAATTTAATAATATTTCTTTTAGAACAATGAAATATAATAAAAAATATTTATTACAAGAAAAACCTTCAGTATTACATTTAATAAATTTAAAATAAATTAAAAAATTCTCAATTTTCGTACAAAAACATTAGCATTTGAAAACATTCAGTTGTTATTATGTTTCGCTTTGCATACGTAAGAATAAGTTTGCATACGTTTAGCTTTGCATGCATAAGTGTTCAATGCGTCTGAGAAAAGGCGTTCACTTGGTGCATTAGTAGCATACGTACATAAAATTATGGTTGAAATGCAATACAATATTGGAAATACATGTTAATTTATATACCAAAAGTGTAAAAACATTATGCTCATTTACTGGCAATTACAACATAACATTTTTGTTATAACATAGCATTTTTTATTATAACATAACAATTTTATATAACCACTAATTTCTCTTTTTAAAGCTAAACTTATTATTTTGTCACTACCGTTTCCAGAAATATCATCTTCATCGTCAAATGATAACTTAAATTTTTTTGATTTGATTGTCACCTTTTTAAATGGAATTATGTCACAAACTCTTTTTGTTTAATGAAATTCCGACAAATATCCTCTAACGCATTGAAAAAAACTTTTTTTTCCCGTACTTTTCAAAGAATTGAAAACTTTTATAATTTGGTTCCAAAAAAGTGGCACATAATAAAACTGAATTATTGTAATGCACTGTAGCTTACAGGGTCGGCACTCGTAGGTAACACGTAGAGAGTGCCGTTAAAATTTTACTTACTAGAAAAAAGAAAAAAAAATCTTGTTTTTTTATATTTATCAAGTGACTGTTCTGAAAATCTACATTTGCCGACATAGTAAGCCAATTTGACTTAAAAGAGTCAAATTGGTTTACTAATTGAGCTAAAAGTTCATTGATGGGATGTCACACACAAAACCAACTAACCCATCTCAACACCCCTTTGCGCTGGCCTTTGTAGCTTATTCAATTCTTTAGATATTTGTGCTTTACCATGTTTACTTTTTGGAATTTTTATGAAATATTTTCTTGAAGTATCTTGTTTATAATATTTTCTTGAAGTAACTTAATACACTGATACTAAACCTTTAGCACTGAAAACTGAAAGAAAATTATTTTTTTTTAATTTTTATTTTTGCGGTATTATTTGGTAAATAGATTATGCATTTGCATTCTTATTCAAAAATTCTAATAGAAATAATATCATGAACCTAAATTATTTATATTATATATTTATAAAATTCTTTAGATAGACTAAAAACAAAGTCGAGTATATTTAGTTAACAAAAAGCTTGGTCGGTTAATTTTAGTTAACTAAAAAGTTTGTCGGCTAATATTAGTTAACTAAAAAGTTAGTCGGGTAATTTTAGTTAACTAAATGTTAGTCGAATGATTTTAGTTAACTAAAAAGTTAGTGGACAAATTTAAGTTAGCAAAAAAGTTAGTCGGGTAGTTTTAGTTAACTAAAATGTTAGTCGGGTAATTTTAGTTAACTAGAAAGTTGGTCGGGTAATTTTAGTTAACTAAAAAGTTAGACGACTAATTTAAGTTAACTAAAAAATTAATCAACTATTTTTAGTTACGGTATTTTTAGTTTAGTTAGTTACAATTTTTAGTTTTGGTCACAACACTAATTATACTATAATAACTAATAATAGTTTTTGAAGAACTATTGTTTCTTTAAAGAATCACAACAAAGTTTGGTTAGATAAGTCTTGAATTGATAGATTACGTCAGCTTTTGATAATTAAATTTCAAGCAATCTTTTTTTGGTAAAAAAGGTTTATTAAAACGAATTGAATCTTACATTTTTTTCAAATCCAAATAAGAAATTCATGGTTGTGTTCATATTTTAAATTTGTAAAATAAATCGCCGTAAAACCGACGCAATGTATATATAATATTATAATGTATATATAATATCGCTACTAATTTGGCAAAAACACGTAACTGACAATCAATACATTTTTCAGGATCAACTAAAAACTAATTTATTTCTGTTTAAGACATTATTAGGTAATATTTTTAATTCATATAGTTTTACTTTCAGATGCTATTCTATTATATAACAAATTTTATTAATTTTTGTGGTTATTCATTCTTTTATTGTAGTTACGGGTTATTACATTTCAAAAGTTATATACGTGGTATTGTTACTTGTAGATACATGTTTTAAAAAATATTTATTTGTTAACTTACGTGATATTGTAACTCTACAAAATAATTTTTTTGATATTAAATTATACTAGGTATTGTATTTTTTCTTAATCACAATCTTTTATTACGTTTATTTGGGTGTAGAAAAACATAAAAAAAATAACAAAATAAAAATGACAACTTATAAGATTTCAACAAAATAAAATAATAATAACTTTTTAAAATAACTAATTTTTCAACTTCTTTAAATCATAGCAAAATAAAATTATAATTGATAACTTTTTAAAATAATATAAAATGTTTTTTCTTATTACATATTTAAAAAAAAACCAGTCTCATTGTTTTCATTAAAATCACAAGTTATAGTATACATACAAATAATTAACAATAGGTAACAATGTTATATTCCTTTATTTTTTCTTTGTTTTAATGTGTCTGCATGTGGTAGACTGTCATTAAAAGCATGGGTGTCAACAGGCAAGACATGCTTAAGCTTCTGTAAATCTGTCTACTTGGATAGAGTCAATGGAATTT